GCAACTGTGCAACTAACACAGCCAATGCATTTACCACCGTAAAAGGACACCACATACAGTCTCCAATTCTATTAGTGTGACCCACTTTTGGGAAGTGAGGGTTTAGTGATTTTCTAGGGTGAAAAAATATATCCATCAGGAAACAGGTTACAACCACCTGCTCTTCTGGTTCTTCGTGGTAAAAGCTTTTAACAGTGTCAAGTATCAGAAGGTAGCCGTGTTAGTCTGTATCCACAAAAACAACAAGGAGTCCAGTGGCACCTTAAAGACTAACAGATTTATTTGGGCATACACTTTCAGTTGCATCTGAAGAAGTGAGGTTTTTTACCCATGAAAGCTTATGCCCAAATAAATCTGTTAGTCTTTAAGCTGCTACCAGACTCCTTGATGTTTTTCTTTTAACAGTGGATATTTAAGGCTTTGTAACCTATGTGGATTTGTAAATGTAGAAAAGGAGTGGCCTGATGAACAACAACAATAAAAATATTCTTGTGTCTGGATCTGAGCCCAAATAGATTCTGAAATAGCGCTCTTTAGAAACAGGAACTGCCTGAACCACATGGACCTGGGTAAACTTTACTGACTTTACATTTATAAAGAGAACAAGAAAAGGTCAAGGGATTCCCATGCCACACTGAAAGAGATTTTTTCCCTCAACTTATATAAAAAAAATTAAAATGATGAAATCCTATCTTTGTAATAATCAGATCTGTAGTAAGACCATACACCTTCAATTGAAATAAACATGTTTTGACAAAGAGTCATTGCCTTACATCTGAAGAATCTGAGGTAATTGTTAATGCCATGATCTGAAAATGACATGCCAAATCAGAAAACGTCTTGAGTTCTGTACACATGCTACTCCCTAATAAATTTCAGGATTAACAAATGTTTGTCAAAAGAAAATGCACTGAGCAATTGAAATTTAATTTGAAAGGGAACTACAATATTCCAATAAATATATGCATGAAAACCAAGAAGCTGCATAATAGGCATAGCCGACACAAAATATGCAATTTACATACATTACACACTAATAATCTCAATACTGACATTATTCTTAAAAAGCTCCAGTTCACTGGCAGAGATGGATTTTTTTTTATTTTATTTTTTTTGTAAAATGCAGACAAGGACAATACTTAACACCAATTCCCTGCACTATTAATCACTGCCTTGTTTCTATAAAGATCAACCCTTTGTAAGTCTATAACACAGAGGATTTCTCACCACAGCCAGGTAATAATGGGTAAAACAGACTTAGCAGACCAATACTCAATCACCCTGATGAGAACTGCAGACCATCTCTTTGTTCTGAATGTGCTGAATGCTAGGAAGACAGTTAGGACTTCCCACTCCTCTCTTTGTTTTAAACTTGCACACACAAAACTTTATCTTATTTTCCAGAGAGTCACTAGAACAGGAAGCCAGGTGTATTGGATGCTGACATTCCATCCTTTCACCCTCCCCCCAAAAAATATGCAGACACATGCAAGCTTCTGATTAAAGTTTGTTACTACAGTGAGAAAATGAACAAACAATAACAAAACTATAGCACCGTAGCACCTCTTGTAATGTTTCCCCCTTTGATCTCAATTTGACTACAATGTTTGTCTTAAACCAGAAACTTAATTGTCAGTGGGCTCAGGAGCAAAAATAGAAATGGAATACCCTGCATCAAAAAAACTGAGTTCAGAGGACTGTGGGCCAGAGTCTCGCCTGGTATAAACTGAAGTCAATGGAGCTATGGTGTTTTACATCATCTGAGAATCAGGTCCTGTGAATCTTAGTACCAGTCTTTGCTGTATACATCACTGGACTCTATTTACCACAAAGGATCTCTCTAGAGGGTAGTGTAATTTTTTTCTTCTTCCTTGAATAATTCACCATAAATTCAGCTTGTGTTTTGTATATAGTTTTTCTATAGTGCTTGCTAATGGGAGATAGTCGTAAGTGTAGACATCATTTTAATGGCTCACACACATACACTACACAGATTCAGTAGGATCAAAATCCCCCAGCAAGGAAAGAAGCTCTTGATTTCTCATTAAAAACCTTTTCTCACTCCCAGCTCTACCAACTTAGGGCTTGTTTCTCCCTGGGAAATTTCCCATTACCTTTTCTTTGATAAAATCCTAAATGCAGAATTGGCTTTAGAATTTTTGGACAGGCCTGACAAACAGTTTTTATTGCCATCTCACTCAGACATGACTATTTCCTGTCCACCAGGAGCACAGAACTCAGTGGAGGGTTGAACGAAGGATTTGGGGGAGGATTGGCAGAATTATTATTTGGGACACACCCCCAATTTAACTGACATTTTATTTATTACAAGTGTGTGTCTGGCAACCCCTGGAGCCTCCTGCTGCAGAAGTCGAACCCAGCTGCTTGTTCCTTTCAACCCCAGCAATTGGTTTAGGGCAATTTATATCTTCAGGGTGATTCTGGCCAGCAAAAGGGATAGAGATTTACTTATGAAAACATGAGGGCTCAGCTTCTCCTTACATCTTTTGGTTCCTAAATCTGGGGGTCCCAGAGCCATGAGTTTAACACAGCCCAAAGGCCAGCTCTGTCTAAACATTTTTTGCCATGCTGTCTGAGGGTCTTCTTCAGCATTTGTTTAACTTGAAACATTTTCATACTGAGGCCAATAAACTTCCAAAAGCTCTCTCCACTTGAATGGATGTGACTGAGTATGTTCAAGTGATGAACAAATTACATCAACACTCTTTTCTATTGACCAACTTCCCTCTATGGCCCATGGTAAAGGTGCAAAGCAGGGCCAGAAATTTTTTAAGCCAGAGATGGGCAACCTTTGGCATGCGGCCCGCCAGGGTAAGCACCCTGGCGGGCCGGGCCAGTTTGTTTACCTGCTGCATCCACAGGTTTGGCCGATCGCAGCTCCCACTGGCCGCGGTTCACCGTCCCAGGCCAATGGGGGCAGTGGGAAGCGGCGGCCAGCACATCCCTCGGCCCACGCCACTTCCCGCAGCCCCCATTGGCTTAGAGCGGCGAACCGCGGCCAGTGGGAGCCGTGATCGGCCGAACCTGCGGACGTGGCAGGTAAACAAACCGGCTCGGCCCACCAGGGTGATTACGCTGGCGGGCCGCATGTGAAAGGTTGCCGATCCCTGTTCTGACCACTGGGATGGGGGAAGGTAGGGGAATGCTAAGGATGCACAGACCAACTTTCATAATATGAAGACAATCCTGACCACTGAATCAGGGCTGGGTTCCAAGAACTGGAGATCACAGAAACTATTTGTGTCTGTTTTATCAGTTTTAAGATCTCCTTTTGATTACAGGATGGTCACAATATGATATTGGCCGTGAAAACTTGTTCCACCAATTCCTTTTGGTAATGATCTCTCTTTACCAAAATGTCACAGGACTTCTTTAATGTAATACTTAACTTTCATATCACAGTGAATAAAAGCTTTTTGAAAGAACAAAATAACACTTCTCCATAGCTAGAACTGACTTACACTGAAAATGACGTTGAAAACTGCCTCTGATGGATTAACTCGGAACCCTGGAAAGATTTTTATGTCTAAATTATGGAAGCCTTGCATACTATGAATCTGGTCATTTCAAAGAATGAAACCACTAATATAATGTCATGCCTTTTGTTGGAGATTGCATTTAGAAATTAGGATTCTTCAAAACAAAATTCATTAAAGTCTTGTTGGAAGTACATCCGTTTGTTTTTATGTTGGTATTTTTCTACTGAGGTTTTAAAGCCATAAAGTTTTGTATTCCACTATGTGCTATAGGAATCTATGAAACTTAATTACATTTACTGTTACAAAAAAGGGTTTATGAACTTTTGCCTTTAGGCAAAAATGTTTATTTCATTGCCTTTGCTATTCATTCTTTTCAACTCCGATGCCTTTGAACTTTTCAGCTGCACAGAGTTATCACCGTTATGCAGGAACCAGGAACTGTATTCCCGAGATGCAAACCACAAGTTGAAGAAAACGAAGGAGGCAAAGATATATGAGTCGTTATTTTGGCCACCCTTTGTGCCATTAAAATCTCATTTTCTGCCTATTAGAATGCCCTCTTACTGCTTAGGCAGTGGTGATAGTCAGTGATTAGTGTGTAATTGAGTATAATTGTCTTTTCACTTTTCATTTGTGTCATTCTGAGCTTCTCTCTGTTTTTCTAACCACTGAGAGGAAAAAAGGGTAGAAAGACGATAAAGCTGTTAAAACTCTCACTCTCAGCCCTGAAGAGATTCCTGATTGTAATTATAGATTGCATCCCCTTTGTGACATTTCTCAGAATTTAGTGGACAGCTCTTCCAAACACCTGGGCGAAGCTCAGACTAATAAACTAAAGTACTGTATATTTAAGCAATTGCTAATAATGTCAACTGCAGACAGATGCCACTTGTAGGAAATTTAACCAACCTTTTGACACTCAATTATCAAGGCAATTTATTAACATGATCTCCTAAGAAAAGCTCACACAAATTAGAAAAACAATTATGGCATTTGAGCATTTATATATTTCCCAAGAACGGTAAGTCTCCTAATTTATGTATTTATAACTTGATTATAGCTCATCCCAATGTGTACTGCTCATCAGCTGCGCCTCTCCCACTATAACTTCTCTGCTACTTCTAGGGCCATTTTGTAAAACTCCTATAGTCTCTTAAAAAGGCATTGTATTCATAAAAAGCTGATTAGACAAGACAAGATCACCCTCCTTGATCTTTCTTTGCCCAGGAATGGATCTCAAGGAAAATAGTGGCACATTACAAATGCTTGATAACTGAATGCAAACATGAAGTGTGCATGATTACTTGAAAATTAAATATAAGCTATGAGTTTTGATGCAGCGAGTAGGAAAAAAAGGAAGCTAGCAAACTGAAATCATGTGGCTTGTATAAAGAATACATTATGGTTTAAATTTGGCAATTCATTATACTATGGCCTCGGGGAATAGACTCTTTGGTTCTGGTATACAGCAAATCCTCTGTCTGAAAACACAGGACTGACCTGAGGTGAAAGGCCATTGCCAATGGCAGGGTTCATGGGATTTGAGGGCCCGGATGGAGGCACAAAGCTGTCTGTATAGCTGGAAAATCCATGCCTGGTGCTGGGTAGGCAATACGCAGAGCTGCTCTCTGGATTTGAAGGGAGGCTGCTTTGGTGTACAGTGCTTGGAGGAAGCGGCTGAGGTCTGTGGACTGTACTGCTTGGATCAGACACAGCTAGAAGGGAAAGGAACACATTTATACATTTTCCACATAGTTTTCTGACATAACAAATTAACTGTATAAAGTTCAACACTGAGAAGAACTGATCAGGACTTGCAGGTAAATATTAGCCAAACCAAAGGTGAATATTTAACATTACTCAATATTTAACTGGCTAGGAGGGAAAAAAAACACATGAGACAAAACATGACATAAGCCTCTGTCAGATCTACATGACACATTTACATTGTGAAAGTTACATGCAGATGTGATTCTCACATGATGCATAATGGGCGTATGCTCTTCTAATGGACAGGATATAGTCTTTCCTCCCCAGTTCATCAGTAGGAATTCAGCTCAGGTTGGTAGTGACTAGTGATCAGACAAGTTGGGGGTTTTGCAAAATTTCCCTAGTCAGATTTTGGTTTGGTAAAACTATCCACCACTGGTTTGAATCCAGATTTCATTTTAACCAAATCACTGAAGTTTAGCAGGTAGGAGGCTTAGATAAAAAGTTGCAAATTTCTCCCACTTCTATAATAGACAAAGCTTTGGGAGGCAGGGACCTGGTTTTATAATACCCTATCAGACAGGGTATTATTTACCTTTGAAAGATCAAAATCAGGAGTAGCCTGTATTTAAGTTCCATTTTTCCCAAACCATCGATACGTTTGGGATCCCCTCTCTAGTAGCAACTGGAACTTATTATCATCTGATGGCTATTCAGTATATGTGTGAGGTGGTTGGTGACTTCAGTCCAATTCCTACTGGACACATATCAGGCAATCAGGCATAAAAATTTCCAGTTGGCAGTCACTTGCAACAAAGAAGATTGAATGAACATAGTGATTGATGACCTATCCTCCACCATGCACTGGGACATGGCAGAGTTGAGACATAATGGTGGGAGAGGATGGGGACATTTGCACAACCCCTGCCAATGCTGTACCTCTCCCAGGGATAGGGGACTTCAGTGTCCAAGCTAAGACTGTCAGTCTGGCACTGGCACCATTCATAGGCAATCAGGCCACAAGCTAGTGAAGCCAATGGGAATAGTCACATGTTAAATGTAAGAGTTTTGCTGGCTTGAGGCCTACATTCATCCAAACCATTTTCAAAATTTGAAGAATAGAATGTTTCTAAAGTGGGTTTACATGGAAAACCACTGATAACGCCGTTTAAATGAAACATCTGTCCCCTACTGTACCTTGTGGTATGGAGGTGGGTTGATAGGAGGGCTCAGATAGCTGGTATGTTGGCAAGGTTGGCATGGCAGTGGGTGGGAATCCTCCTGGGATCAGGTGGTTGAAAGCCATCAGTTGATTGGCCCCCGCCTGTTTCCTCCATCTAGCACGACGGTTACTAAACCAGACCTACAAATGTTTTAATTAGGTACATTTGATTTAGTACATTTAACATAGGCGCATTAGAAATAATGGTACTTTTTAATGTATTTTACATTTGAAAAGAAGCTAAAAGCTCCATATCTACCACACAAGTCAATCTTCATGGCAATGAAATAAGTCCATGGCAGAACATTATTTGATCTAGTGGCCTGAATACAGGACTGAGAGTCAAGAACTCCTACACTCCAACTCCATGTCCGGCACTTCCTCCTCTGCCAAGTCACTTAACCTACTATTTTCAAACATGGGTGATTAGGTACCTATATCCATATGGTGACAACTAAATGATCTCATGAGCACCTGCAATTCCCCCTTATTTAGATGCTTAAATATATATTTAAGTGCCTAACATGATAGATGTTAGTCTTGCCATTTAATGCATTCTTGGAAGGCACTCAGATGCTATAGTGATGAAGGCAGTACTATAACCTATATAGAATAGAACAGGGGTCGGCAACGTTCGGCACGCGGCTCACCAGGGTAAGCACCCTAGCAGGCCGGGCCAGTTTATTTACCTGCTGATGCGGCAGGTT